GGCCTTTCTATATAATAAAATTATATATTACATATATGTATTTAAAAAAAATTGTACTGAAGAAATACAATTTTGTTATTGCATAGGTACCACTGTACCAGGTATGCCATACCTGTTCTATTAGTTTAAATATTTTCTGTTGCCACTCTAAAGATTAAAGGGAAATATTCAATATTATCATGTACTAGACCCTGATGAAAGAATGGTTATGTTTTTTATTCATAGCCTGTATTTTTTATAATTAGATACATTAATGCAGACTTTGTTACCTCAGTAAATTACAGTACCTACTATATCCACATTTCAACTTATGCATCGCAAACCTTTTTTTAAATATTCAAATATTTATTGATCGTTGCCCAACAACCCTAAAACCCTGCCAACCCCACTGATACCTGTACAGAGGTAGTTGGGTACACTTTTACATTTTTATATAGGTATCAAACGTATGGTTTGAACTCACAGACTTCTATATAACTTCTATATAAGTCTGTGTTTAAACTATACCGAAAATATAATATCAATTGTAATTATTATCAATTTATCACAGAGGACTGTGTTAATGACTGTATTTTGATCATTCTGTATAATGCCAGGGCATTTTACCGATTGTACATTTGTACATATTTTGAACTCCCACATTTACCATAACTACGATCATAAAGAATTCTTCGTAATCGTGACCATAACGTACCTATACAATATAGTAATAAACATTCAAATTTCTTACTTGAAAATGTTGATTATTTGGTGATAAGAGTCGAGGAACGTTGCTGAGTTCATGTGATACTCGTCCGTATCAATCATGCCGCGTGTCTAACTTCAGACCGCTTTAACCAGAACACTACCACCACCTACCATTGATTCCGTGACACTCTACAGCTGCAGCAGGCAGGCTGAAGCTCTCGACCTATTATCTGTGACTCTCGATGATTGTCAATTGATAAAAATTAAGGTGTGTACTATAATTTGTACTTGTAGACACAGTGTACTGTGTGCTGTATGTGTGCTCTAACGTAATTTCGTTTTCTGTAGTGTGCTAAGTATTCAAATTGCGGCGGACAGTTACGTTTTAATCTTCAGAACCCTCTCAGGTAAGCTCGCCGAACCCGAACCAGCCCGTGTCCGCATCCTCCCAACCGCTATCGATTCGGGTTTAACAACGCTTGTTTACATATTGCTCGTACTACTGATCAATTGTCGGGCGATTCAGTGGGGATGTTGGGCGTGAACGGTCTCGTTTTTGATCGGTCGCTTTAATGTTGTGTTTTGCAGGTCGACGAAAGAAATCATGGTGGATACCGGTTGTTTCTTCAACATTGACGGTGGTTACTTGGAAGGATTATGTCGCGGCTTTAAGTGTGGCATACTCAGACATGCCGATTACTTGAACCTTGAGCAGTGCGAGACCTTGGACGATCTCAAATTGCATCTGCAATCCACAGACTATGGCCAGTTCTTAGCCAATGAACCCAGCCCGCTGGCAGTATCCGTTATCGATGACAAGTTGCGCGAGAAGCTTGTTATTGAATTTCAACACATGCGCAATCATGCCGTGGAACCCCTCAGTACGTTCCTCGATTACATCACGTACAGTTACATGATTGACAATATTATATTGTTGATCACCGGAACACTTCACCAGCGCCCCATATCTGAATTGATACCAAAGTGTCATCCATTGGGTAGTTTCGAACAAATGGAAGCTATACATGTTGCTGCTACTCCAGCTGAGCTCTACAATGCTGTGTTGGTCGACACACCCTTGGCTCCATTCTTTGTTGACTGCATTAGCGAACAGGATCTTGACGAAATGAATATTGAAATTATTCGTAACACTCTATATAAGGCGTACTTGGAATCTTTTTATGATTTTTGTAAAAAGCTTGGAGGTATCACGGCTGATACTATGTGTGAAATATTATCATTTGAAGCTGATAGACGAGCAATTAATATAACGATCAACTCTTTTGGAACAGAATTGACTAAAGATGATAGAGCTAAGCTGTATCCAAGATGTGGTAAACTCTATCCAGATGGTCTGGCAGCTTTAGCTAGAGCTGATGATTATGATCAGGTAACATATACAACATTGAATGCCAATTGTTTTTAGAAAATAATAATTAATCATATTCTGATACATTTTTTATAACATATAGGTTAAAGCTGTAGCTGAATACTTTGCTGAATACAGTGCTCTGTTTGATGGCGCTGGTACTAATCCTGGTGAAAAAACTCTTGAAGATCGTTTCTTTGAACATGAAGTGAAGTTGAATGTCAATGCATTCATGCGCCAATTCCATTATGGCGTTTTTTACTCGTATTTGAAACTTAAAGAACAAGAATGCAGAAATGTTGTGTGGATATCTGAGTGTGTGTCGCAAAAGCATCGGGCCCGCATGGATAACTACATTCCCATTTTCAAGTAACTTATAAATCGATGGTTATTTGTGCAGGTACCGGTATATTATCAATTATCATCAATTTAACATAATAAATTATTAATACCCTTTATCATACAGTTTTGAGGTATAATTTAGATTGTTCATAGATTGCATAGTATATTAATTCATTGTTTTTATTTATCATTCCAACGGTATTAATATGTCTGGAGCATTGTTGATAGCTTTTTCAGAATATTATGCATGTTTTTGTTTTTTATTAGATTTTAAGTGTCCAAAAGGAAAAAAACATAGTAAATTATTATCATTGAATTATTTGGATAAGAAATTAAAAACTACCATCTTTAGAATTTATTATTATTTTTGTTTTCAAAAGACCGTTATTATATTTTAGACAGTCTTAATGTTTATTATGAAAAATAAATTTAATTTTCAAATGACCAGTTACTTCATGTTTTATTTATTTGAAAAATTAAATCCTAAATAAAATACACAGCTCCATAATGTTTTTGATATATTATGTACTCAGTTCTCTAATGAGTAATAATGATAACAAAATAAACAAACTAAAATATTTTATCACAAATATATTATATGAAACAAATTGCTAGAGAAAGAAAAACGAAGAGGTTGTCTGCTAAAATGCTCCAAAGGTGAGTTCCATTAATAATTTAATTATTAATTAGTGGCAGGGGACAAATACGATTAACTGTTAATACATTTTTGAAAATGAATTTCTAAGAAATTTCCAATATTTAATCATTTTGAAATGAAATCTGTACACATAAATGTTTGATACGTATTTGTATACATTTTCTAAACATGAAAAAATATCAAATGGTATGTAACATCTATATGGGCTGTATTCCATACATTTAATGTATTTGAAAATTACAAAGAAAAATATAACTAAAATTTAGAAATATTCTATGAACATCACTAGTTTTTAATTAATTTTAATTTTAAATTTGGGTTGGAAAGTTCCTTACTTTTTGCACATGTATTTTCTTTAAATGTGAAATAAATAAAACATCCTTTATCTGAACTATGATTACCTTATATCTGTTATATCAGCTGTAGGAAATGATTTCCTATTGTTATCTTGGTATACCTCTACCGGTAGCGTGTAACATAGGGTTCAAATGTTGCTCAAGCAAAACCTTAAATATGGATGGGTGGGTATTGATAGAAGAATAATAGGACATTTTATAGGATGGTATAACAGTATAATGAGGTCACCTAAAATTATTCGAGCAACACCTACTTTTTTTATGATAAATGCCACTGCCTCATACTTAATAGGACCCAATAGGCTAATTTTTTTAATTCTAAATATCGTACTTTTACTGCTAGGCTATTAGCCCTCAATGCGGCAATTTGTCTCCCATTCTTTTTGTACTGTTCATACACAGCATTATAAAGGTCCCCTTCAATAGTAAGTCACTATATTTTGCTGATGATATAAAAATATTTTATAAAATTGAGTAATGGTTGTTGTGTATTTGAAATCCTGTACTTGTCGAAAACATTCCATCAACTTCCAACTTCTAGTCATAAATTTAGGTTTTTTCTTGTTCACCGAAAATCCCGCGTATCTGCCTACTCATTATGCTAGACATACTATTTGAAATATTCTGTTTTCTTGTTAACTTAGAAAACTTTTATAGGCATGTACAATTTGAAATTGGACCACTTCTCTTAAAATGTAAAAATAAAAGTTTAAAAATAATTAGCATTTATTTAGAATAATACGAGTTTATATACATTTCACACAATTAATAATTATACATTTGTCTACAAATTTGACAAACATTACTTATAACTAAACTTACATAAAATTATTCATACATAGGTATAAAATAGTACATGGAACATATATTTTTTATTTTTTTAATCTAAGTACATTTACTTAATTAATTTTATTAAAACTAACTATACAGTCTATTCGGAAGAATTTGAATTATATGCATTGCACACATTTCAGTAATACGACACTGAGTTCACACATACAGTCTTAAGTTTATTGAATTTAATAAAAAAATATTTTTGGTATACTGTGTATATTTAATACGCACAATTTCTATTTTATTTTTAACATGTTAAGAAAAAAAAATGAATTTACTACAATATAAAACCGTTACTAATAATATTCTGTAAAATAATTAACTAATTTACTGGTCCCACATTTAATGAACATAATAATAATTGTAATGAATAATAAATAATAAATTTTAATAAAATAAAAATGACGATGGTGCATGAAATAAATAATAGGTAATAAAAACAAATAAACCTAAATAAAAAAAAAATCGGAAATACAGTTGTTTGATGGTGTTGGTGCAAATTCAAGAATTTGTGCAGAAGTTAAAAAATTGGGGGGTGGGTTATGTTCACAAAATTATTACAATAACAGGATTTTCAGAAATAAAACACAATGAACCATATATTATTCACATATAAGTAGAAAACATTCAATTTTTTGGTAGGTATACAATTAAAATAAATTAACTAATATTTTAAATTAATGCAAACGTTACATAGTATGTGTAGCTAAATAATTGCCTACAGTCAAAATTTTATCCAGCAACAAAAATATTCTTGTTGCTAGAAAAAAAAAAATAGAAAAGAATAGCAGAGAAAACCAAATCATTGTGGTCACTCACGAATGTTCAGGAAATGCAAACACCATTCTATGTCTTCACTGTCATCAACTAGCAGCTTCAATCTAATGTTAACAGACAAAAACCATCAATTTTAAGAAATAAAAAATAAAAAAAATAACAACTAGTACAATATAATTTAATTGTTAATTATCAATTTCCTTTAAAAAGTAAAAAGAAAAACTTACTGGTTTCTGTAATTGTCAGAGCTTTGCTGGTTCATAGTGTCCTTCATGTGTTTAAGAGCAGTTATACACTGAGCTGATAGCGATTTAAAACATTGACGGCGTGCAGCATTGTGGGCAGGGTTATCCCATATGGGAGTATTTCGAACGTGCTTCCACGCCATGAACACATAGTCCATAACAATTGGCCACTGATTACTCTCAATCAAGCGCCTACCTTGATCAACAACACATTTCTGAAAAACACATAAAATAATGTAGGATTAAACTATTGTCAATAGTAGACGAAAACAAGAAATAAATTTACCTTGAATGCTAAGACATGGGTTGAGACTCTGTTATAGGCGGTTGGATCAGTTTTTGAAATCAATCGGCTACTTGGTAAGGCCTTGTAAATATTACGTCGCAAATAATAAATACGCTCTTCAAGGGGCTTCAAGTCGGCCACAGGGAAGTGTGATCTAATTTCCTATTGATTAAAATAAATATATATATACAGTTGTTTCTAAATTAAATTATATATATGTACCTTTTCAATACTTGGATGGTCAATGACAATCTGTCCGATTACACCAATAAGCTGATCGGAAGACAATGATTTTAAAGCAGATAAAAGACAATTATCTTCTGGAAGTTCAACTGCCACTTCAGTACGTAATTTTTTACAATTTGGAGAACCCTAAGTACAAACATTGTCAAGTCTTAACAAAATTATTAACTATAGTAACTTTATACATACAATTTTGTATTTGTCTGGAGATGATAATTCCAGTGGATCATTTAACAGTAATCTTTTGCGAGGAGTACTCCTCAGAACAATTGAACTCTTGAAATTAGAACAACCAGATTTTGTTGGAGTTTCTTGATTATTCTAAAAATAAAATATGTTTATAAATGGGTACTAACATTTTTTGTAATTAGCCGTTAAACTTATTTCACAGATAATAAAGAAGTTGTAAAATTATGTGTGAATAGTTCACATAAAAATAAATGAATGAATTCAATTTAAATATTTATCATTATTTTTAACAAATATAAAAACTTTAAATGAGTTTAAAATTGTATTTTATTAATAAAGAACTATATTAATTTATAATTTACTAATAATATATTTTTTCCAAATATATATTAACTTATACATGGAGCTGATAGGTACATGCTTATACATGTTACAATATGTTTAAACATTTTTTTTTTCAAACCTATTTTGTTACAATACATTGTAATTATTTATTGACGGGAAGAGGAGTATATTTATAATCATTAAGACAAGTTTCAAAATGTTTATTTAGTGTCCAAGAAACGTTATTATAATTAACACATTGATTTTTTTATCTTATCTTATGGTTATGAGATTGTTAAGAATAATATTATAATTGATACCAGCTGTGTTTCCTAGCATTTATCCATTATTTACAAAAATCAAAATATCAGAGAATACTTATTTAGTCATATTAACATTTAAAGATAATAGATCTAATTAATCACACTATTCCATATCTATCAATACACTAAAATAACTTTAGGTATCTGCTCGTTATAGCTTTATTCATAGATATAATTTAAAAATTAAACATAAATGTAGCTACCAAAATGATTATTCAACAGTTAATATTGTTTATTATCTAATGATTATTATTTTTTTAATTAAAATGTAGTATTTTAAAAACTGATAATATAGGGATTATACAAGAGGGTTCACATTTATATTCACATTACTCAATTTAAATAATTATTTTAAGATAGGTAGGTATGTATGAAAAATAAAACCTATTTAAGATAAATGAATAATTAATCCCTATGAACTTAATTAGTAATTTTTATCCAATATTCTGTGTTTATAAGATAACAATATTATTTGTAATATATATTTATAATTTAAAAGAATATAAGAAAAGTGTTTTTCAAACAACAACATGACTCAAGAAGGGCTAATGACTAGCTAATATTTGTATTCTAAATTTAGCAGGGAAAAAAGTTAATATTTTAAGTACAAAAAATGTTTAAATTGATTTAAATGAGGTTCAAAATTGAAACATAAAATCATACATTGTTAAATTTAGTTACAAGTAATAATAATAAAAAAAAACCCAAAGACAAAAATAAGGTAAAATGTGGGTAGAGTAGTTAGATGATTAAAAACAAAATATACCTAATGAATGAACCTACCTGTTTTATGGCATCAATGTCAGGACTAAAAGTAACTGGTATTTTACGCCGGCCCCTTTGTTGGATGATTAATTCATCTGGACTAGGAGATGGCGTCATCATTGATGTTGGCAAGTTACTTATAGTTGTATTCATTATATTGAGATGGTGATCATTTCGGCCCAAACCTAATGCAGGTATGGTAGTATAGTATATTTATATTAAGGAGTACCTATTGCACCTATATTAAATTAAATTGTATTACCATTATTGGGGTCTGTCATCGATAATCGTCCTAGTCTAGTTGGTATCTCAGCTAGAACACTTCTGGTCATCATCCGGGTAGGCTCTGGGTTAAAAGGTGGTGTCTCCATTTTGTTTTATTCAATCAAATCCTTGGTTAAAACTGTTTGTACAAATTTCCTGTAAATTAATATTTTAAAAATAGAAATCTGACTTAAACTAATTTCATTTTAAATACATTGAACTAATGATTCTGATAAAATATAATCAAGAATTGTACCTTACAATGAATTGAAGGCATTAAAACTCTGTGGTTATTTACTTATGACATTTGATTTAATTTTTTAAAACAATAAAATATTTAAGTACCTATAACATTTGCCAATTCTATAAAATAGAATTGAATTTTTAATATTTAAGGTACTTCTTCCAGTATCAAAATATGTGTAGATACCTATACTGGATTGCAAGCAAGTTCTAAGAGGAATAAAAGTGTAAGTAAATAAATTACATTAAAAAAGTATTTTTTTTTCTTAAAATTTAAGCATGGTTAAAAGTATAATTAGGTACAAACTCAAATGTATGTATATAAATGACCATGTTGTAATTTTTATAAAATAAAACAAAAATTGAGAACAAAGATATTTCTAGGTACTATGATGTGTTTTATTAACAAGTATAATATTTTTAATAAACCTCGTGATTAACTAAAACATTGTTTCCAACTTTTCTAATTTGATAAAACCAGATGGAAACTAGATAGGTACCTACTTACCTAACAAGGTAAATGTTCTTTTATAAGAATCAAATACTTATATAGGTATACTTATCAGTTCCCATGTGAATTTCAAACAAATTGAGTAAGTAACATTGCTTTTATTTTGTTCCTAGATCCTTACATGTAGATAGTTTGTTTAAATTGTATTTATTTTTTATTTAAATGATTCTGTGTAAACAATAAAATCATTTAAATTAGAAGGATAGTTAACACTTATTGAAAAACCTTACAAGACATATTGTAAATTTATAGTGTGATAGGATTATAGAAAAGGTACCTCTATAGGTACTAGCTAAAGTACCTATTAAAAAAAAATCGAGATATTGAAACAAATTAAATGAGAATGTGCCTTTAAAAACGATAATGATGAATATGACACATTGTCTACCCAATTGAATACGTGTATATTTGCAACACCACATAATCATTTAAAACGTATTTGCAGGCAAATTACATAAGGTATTGTAATTGAATTAATAACTTGTGGAATATTTAAAACGCGGTGTGACATTTGCATAATAATAAAATGCGATTGTGATTAACCTATTTCGTTAGATCATAAACAGATAGCGAACGAATGAAATAATATTAAAGTTTCACGCGGGTACCGATTTACGAAAAGAAAATCTTTTGGCCTCGACATTTCAGACACCAAACCAAGGAGGTAGGCACGGTACGTATACTTACAACGCACCACCACGGTAATAACAGACGTTTAAAAAATATATATTAGTAATTATAGTTGCATACAATTTGAAAACAATGAAAAACGTGAATTCTGAAAATCGTGCTATTGACAATAAAATAAATCTAATCACCTAAGACCGTGAGTGTAGTGACGAGTATATTATACTTTATAATACTATGTTTTTTATAAACTTTCCTACCAACCAACTTTAAATCGTCGTGCCTTTATCGGTACCACCTGTCTGGATATCAAACACAGTAATAATAATAATATAAAATTATTACGATTATTGAGGTGGTGTCTGGGAGGTTTTGGGATTGGGAAAATCACGACTATAGGAGGGACGTGGTCGGGGAAAAGGTTAATTAAAAAAAAAAAAGCAAAAGAACCACTAACCTTTAAAATCCTGGACGGTGACGTGACAGTGCTTTGCCGCCAAAAAAATAAAAGAAAAAGAAAAACCAAACAGAACGGATAGCGGGTCGGAAAACGATTGCAATACTACACGACACTACGCTTAGAGCAATCGAGCGAACTACTTCACCGGACGGATCTCGCTTACGACGGACTCAGTTTGTCAATTGTCCGTTAAAAATCGTATTGCGGCTGCGACGACTGGGCTGGCGGGGTGCGGTGACCACTCGTGCTGCAAGACGGGAGGAGCAAAGGCGAATTACGATACAGTCGGTGTCGGTGCGGAGCGCGACTGCGGACTGGTCTCGACTCTCGACTTGCGAGAAGTCGGCGGACGCGAGTACCGGTTACCGGTATCGGTGACGACCGGTTCGGGAGAGGCCTTTGTCCCGATTGTGCGCAGGGATTTTAGCGGGAAAATCACGCGGTCTCCCGCCCGTCAAGCACGGAATTGCATGGCTCTCACCATTGGCCCGCCGTCGACCAGTGGTTCCCAAACAGCACGAGCCCGCTTAAATTCGAAAATGCGCGCGAGTGGCGCGACCGTCGAAGATATTATTTCTACACACAAAATATTATGGCTTTGATGTACAATTATTCAAATGACAAGCAGTGGGGTTTTGGAGGGTTAGCGGATTACGGGGGTGTATGGCATATTCGGTTGAAAACTGATTTTTCTGAAAAATTCTCGTTTTTCCTTAATTTGTATTTTGTTTTTTTCGACGTTTTGGAAAACTACCAGAAATTTTCTCTGTTAACCACCCAAATGCACCAGCTGTTCAACCATATTTCCTTTCCCGTTGTAAAAGGTACTGAAATTGAAAATCAAAGTATTGTTTCTACGTATCAAAACGACACATCATTGAAACATCAATACACTCATCACTTCTCTGTCTAAAATGTACAAAACCGGGTAACAAAAAAATTAATTTTTATGAAGTTTTGGGAATATTTGTGAATACATAATTCTGTAAAAACCTTTGTTAAATAATTGTTCACAAGCTCCTATTTGAAGGGTTGAACTGTTCAACTGATTCGATGTTCTTGTACGAGCTTATAAAATTACAATATTTATTGCAACTTTGTCAAAAAATCATATATTAGAGTATACCTACTCTAGTTTTTTTTACAAAAATTCTCCTGATGACAAGCAATAATAATATAATATTAATATAGTCTTCCGTCAAAAGCCTAAGATAACAGTCTTAGGTTAGGTTAAACGTATACTGACACCATAAAAATCATTAGGTACACGAATAAATAATGATAATAATATAAAACACAGCAATACATAGTTATAATTCATTTAAAATGAGTTTTATTTTTATCACAAAATTATATGTACGTATTGTAACGTTGCAAAATAACAAATCATTTTCGCGAAATGAAAACTAAATTATTTCAATAATGCTTCATATCTTAAATTACTCCAATACTTACAACAATCTGACATCCATATTTCAATTTGAGACACTACAAACTACATTGAATATAATATTATTACTATATAAGATCACAATATAGGAAGGTCATAGTAAACCGTGAGAAATTAAAGTTTATTAAATAATAATAAATATTAGGTTAGGTAGGTAAAAATAGAATTTAAAAGCTATTGATTAAACCATACCATGCAAAAACCAATTAAAATTTGTTGTTTTATAAAATTACATTCTAAAATTTTAATTGATTTCCATGTTATATTGTTATTCCAGACATTTTATTAATTAGACTATTATTTTCAAACCAATTATATGCAATGTCTACATTTTAGTTATATCATTGATTTTAGGAATGAAATGTTGTGTTTGCAGTATTTACAATACTATTTAATCATGTTAAGCTAGATTTAAAAATAAGTATAATTTTGCAATAATAGTCATGATTAAATAAATTATTTTCTCAACTATATTGTTGATTCAAGTTTCAACAACTATATTATAGATAATTTATTTTTCAAATAATCAGTTATTTTAATAACTGCTTTTATCTCTATTATTCAGTTTAAAAATGAAAACAATTTGTGAGTGTAATTGTTTAAAATGTATATTTTAATGGTGATTTCATGATGTTACGTCTTATAAACTAAGAAATTATGACCACATAGATACATTAAGTTACATAATAGTTCATAAATATGAACATGTAAATTATATGATAAAACTTTATTGATTATAAATACATGGAATAGTAACATAAAAATAATACCTAAAAGTGTACATAAGGTGTTAATGGTTAAAATGAATCATTATAATATTGTAAATTTAAAGAGTAGTTTTAGAAAGCTTTACATTTAAAACAATGAAAAAAGTTCAATAGAATGTTTAGAATACTGAGAATTTAGAAAGTAATAGTGTCAAGAGTATTTCGACCTCCGAGTTTAAATATAATAGATAAACTTCTCTTAAAAATAATGACTGAAATTGATTGGTAAATTAATAAGTCAATATATAATTATGACTGTTTCAATCATCAATATTACTCTTATAGTCTTATATAACATGCTTTTTTGGTAGACAAATTACATGTCAACAAATGATAATTTTTTTATATATATAATATATAAATAGTTAAAAAAGCGTGATGAAGCTGCATTTTCAATTAGTTTCAGGCCTACTAGTTGGCACAAATATATAATAATGTTCACTTATTCTGATTTGAAGTTTCTGTCTGAGATGATGTACAAGGCTTGTCTTCTAGAACTAAAGGTATCCATGCTTGATTATGTAATGCTTGCAAGCCTAAACTTAATTCTGAAACAATGATTTATCATTTAAGTTACATTTTAATTAGGCATTAAACTATTTTTGGTACTGATGGGTTATCACTTAAATTGATTTGTTAAAATATTATGTAACTGTACAATGTACACAATACACATGTGGTCAAAACCACATATTAAATAGATGGTTTGTTAACACATTATAAATAATAAATAAGTAAATCAATATTTTTTTGTACACAAGCAAAATAAAATAAAATTAATCATCAAAGAAGGACCAATTTTACAAATGTTTGCTATGTAAAAAAAAACCAACTCATAATTTTATTATTAACCATATTGTTCCAATTAACTTTTACATAAAATTATTAATTACTACTAAATCAACCGAAACAAAATGGAACAGAAAATTTATATTTCTATACAAATTATATACAATCATAATAAATGTGATATGATCAAAATTAAGTTGAAGTACAATTAGAAAAAATGGTTTAAAATTCCTATAAGAATGAAAGAGAGACCTATTACGAGACATTACAATATTATATTCAAGCAGCATATGGTTTTTCAAAGAGATAACATTGGTTTGGGCTGTCTACTCATCAGTACTATGATTTTTTGTTTTTATTATTACCAGAAGATGCAGATTTCTTTCTTTTGTGATCTTTTGATGGATTAAGATGTGAAAATGGAGCTTCTAAGTCTACTTGAATTGTATTGCTGAAAAATAAATTAAAATTAGATTTTAATACAATAAACGTTTAGTATAATAATATAAAAAAACTAACTCAGTTTTGGTCAGAGTAACTCCTTTTTTTGGTGAGTCATTGAGTTGCATATGAAGAGAATACATTTCTGCTAAATGTGAAAGTTGGTCTTGTTCGTTTTTTGGCATTGGATGAAGTCTAAAGTATTATCTTATTTTAGTTACAATTCAAAACTATATAGAAAGTTAGTGGTAAAACAACATACCTTAATTCAGACTGTGCAGGATCCCTTAAGAAACGAGATACTTTATCGTTAGCTGAAGTTAAAACAGAAAAACTAGGTTTAACTGATCGAACTCTGCGTAAGCCTCCACGAATTTCTCTATCACTTTTCTAAATCATAGAAACATTTTTTTGAATTGATAAAATAATAACTAAAAGAGTATTTTTAGTACCTTAAGAAAAGTATTTCTATGCCATATTGGCATACGCCCAGGCCCTCTTCCTTCAGCTAAAGTGTTATTTTGTAAATTAACAGATAATAGTTTTTGACAGTCAATTTTAATTGGTTCGGCATCATCATCAGTTACTCCACCAGCTCCACATGCATTACCAACCCAATCACTCTGTTCATCATCTCCTAAATATTAAATAATGATTCATTCTATATGACTTTGTACAACTTTTATTAAATAATCAATTAATTAACTAGTTTTACCTTCTCTTCCTTCATCATTAGTAAAAATTCCAGCTTCACTTTCTGAGGAACTAATACTACTTGAGCTACTAGCAACATCAATATCCATTGATTTGATATTTGAAGTACCCTGATGGCCAGCTATAATTTCTCGATTACTGCGCTTTCTTTTACCAATAGCCAATATTAATGATCCGCAGTTTCTAAATTGTTAAGGCATTATATTATAATAAATTTAATGTATTTTGAACTTGAATAAAAATCATATTTATTCAGTTAAACAAAGAAAAACAACTAGATGTACAACAATAGTACCTACCTTGGCATACTAGCTGAGTGGCGTGTAGTTCTTCTCTTCTCACTGCTACTACTTTGAGAACAACTACTAGTCATTTGTGATGGAAACTTTACATCTGGATCGACAATCATCTTTTTGAATTTTCTTTTTCTTTAAAAAACAATAAGAACATAATATAATATTAATGTTAATAATTTATCAATGATCAATTATGATAAAATGTGATTTAATTAAACCTCCTAGTGAATGGTCTTCCCGGGGTAAAGTTTTCATTGACTGAATCTGATTCCAAATGCATTAGATGTTTTGACAGCAAAGCAAATCGAATTGGTTGTGGAGCACCACTTATATCATCTGAATCACTCTATTTTTGAAATAAATTATATTATTACCCTTATCAATTTATTGACGTTTGTGGAAAAATTTTTGATTTTCTTACATGATAAATACTAGACACTCCTACATCCTTAGAATTACTACTGGAATCATCACTTTGAGCTTTATTGTCTGGATATGCTATAACATGAATAAAATACATTTGAAAATAATGAATTAGTTGATTATGTAATTTATAACATACCAACGCTACTGGCAGATCTTGTTCGACGCCTGAATCCTAATGGCCGAATGAATTTGTTTACTTTATCCATTCTAAACTAAATAAAGAATATTCACCATATTAGATTATAATATTTGATTATATCATGATAATAAGTTAAGTTAGTCAACAAACATAGGTCACACTTTTTTCAAGTATTTAATAAAGGTCTTTACTTAATTAATTCTAACTACATGCACAATATAATAATATGATTATTGATTACACATAAAAGATCTAATAGACACAGATTATGTTAGTTAATATGTATTCAAAACAGATCAAATTGATGCCCTTTGTTGCCCTTCATTCTCCATCACAAATAGATAAGAAATATTTAAATGTGATCATGGACAAATATTTTTCTAAAACTACTAACCCATAGATTAATAAAAAAGTGAACATATTACATATGAAACACGGACATTTTGTTGTCTGCGTCTCACAAGTAGGCAACATAGCAAATTGCATGATCAGCTCTGTTAGCATAAAAATTAGAGTAAATTAACCTCTCATGAAATTTAAAGGTAATTATTATCTAGGGCATCTCATAAGCTTTTTATTTAATTTTAATTTTAAAGCAAGTAATGAGTATTTTAAGATGTACGTACAAACAATTTATAGTTTAAAAATACTCATAATAACTCACTTTAAAATAAAAATATAATAAAAAGCCTATGAGATGCCCTAGATAATAATCTTACCTTTAAATTTAAAAGAGGTCAATTCACTTTCATTCTTAAACTAACAAAGCCAAACGTGATTTGTTAAGCATGTGGCCTCGTAATAGGTAGGTATTACCTTACATACTACTCATCACTGTACCCTAACATAAATTAGATATTTATACTACACAAAAGCCTACATATTCAGGCTTTGATATTAAAATATACAAACAATAACTACCTATAAATGGGAAATATAAATAACGATTTAATCAAATTCAAGTTTGTATAACTTTCCTAAAATTTAGATAGACATTCATGTGGATATAAGGCACTTGTCTTGAATCCCTCAATTCAGCACAGGACAGCAATGTATTATGAATTACTTATGATACTGAATGATGATAAATGTTCCAATTAGAAAAACAACTATTATCAGTATTGGGTAAATGACTTTTGAAAAGTAATACAATTACAGAATCTATCCATGTATAACGACTACAGACTAATAATTAGTTGTTATATTATTATATAAATTTTATAGTAGTATAGGTATAACATTGATGATGTAGGACGTAGGTACATGGTTAATGACTTAATGTTATACATGAACAAAATGTATAAGTATTAATTCCTGGAATCTTTAATAGTAGATGCGTATTGATAATTATTATTTTGGAAACATAAACGTTTTTTATTGATTTTTATTTCTTCTCGTCTATTCTAGCCTAGGGTTTGTCATACATCCTACATTCGTAACTTTTTAATGACTTGGAAAATAACACGTTACAGTAATTTTTAATTTGTTCTATGTAACTATCTACCCAACATTGATTGTTATAATACAAATAGTACCCAATTACTTTTTTCAAAATTACACACTATATATTTTTTTTAAGGAGTGAACTAAGTCTTTCTATTTACGTCTATTGCTATAAATATATTATTGGCTATAGTCTACACGCAGAATTATAAAGAACTATGTTCATAGCTGCTTGCAACATATTATAAGCTACCACAAAAATAAATCTTACCTAGCAGATCCAAATAACAGTATTAGGTACTGAATTTGTACATTAATAGTGTAATCGGTTTTGTTTCATATCTTTACTTAGGTACCTATGGCACTTTGGTCATTTAAATTGTTTGATATCTAATATCATTGATTTAATATACAAATACTTACAATATTTAATCAATGCTTATTGGTAGGTAATGTAGGCTATTTAGAACTGATGTAAACGAAGGAGAGCTATTAATGAGATTAAGATAAAAGATCATTTAGACAAAACATCAATTAAAAAATGCAACTCATAGGTAATCAGAGTTTGTTGATTAATACAATTAATTGAACATTTCTCAAACTAAAAAATGTTTAGGCACGTAAAGCAATTGAATGCTTCAGTCATAATATTGTATAATGTGGTGACAATAAATATTTAGTGCATTAATACCTACAGCATAAAATCTGAAATCATAACACTTTGTACCTATCCTTATTTTATATCAATCATACTGGGTATTATTACCATAGGAAATCAAATAACCTACAAGACGTGGACGAGGCAACACGATAGGGGTAGTTTTCCTACCTATTAGGGACTCAATACCACCGACTGCTGACGTGAAGTCACACAGATGATTAAGATGTCAAATGCCACAAAAACATGATCCCGTTCTCAGACGTCCTGAGTTCATCCAGTGCGTTAAAAGTCAGACGCCTATAGGTAGTCAGACCAACAGATCGTACCAAACGGACGCCCTTGCCTGGTCGGTAAGCGATTTTTTCCGATCAAATCGATAAAAAAATCAAAATGGTGCACAAACGAGAAGGGTGCGAGGGGATAGTCAAATGAGAGATCACGACGTTGACCGTCCGATCATAATACATTAATCTATAATGTATCTCCTGTCACACAACATTTGACAAGTACGTCGTGTACGATCGTTTAAAATGGCTGGTAGTATTCGATTTCGGTATTTACCTTCCGGGCGTGCAGACGCGCGACGGCACAACTCAAAGTGCCCGGCACTGGTCGCATAAGTAGCTCTTCGTTTATCGCACCATTTGTCGTAAACGAAATATTTATTTTAACGTATCACACGGAAAGTCGACAAATGACGAACGCGTTGTCGCACTATCGTCGAGTGACGACTGGGCGCAATGAGCGCGATGGGTGACAATTGCTACCTGCTCAGTCACTACTCAACAGTCAGTCAGTACTCGATACGATACATTCAGAGACGAATCACAGTGCGCAGACTTTCACCGTTCACTATAGGCCTGTCGTTCTTTTGTGCGGCAACGACAGATTTTCCTTCCTTTTCTACTCGGCGCTCGATCACCACACACAAAGACTTTTCATGCAACCGGGCAAACAAACGACAAAGCAATCACTATAATTCGGCTGTAGTCTCTACTGCGTGTGCGCGATTGCACGAGTCGCGGTGGTTAGTAAAAATTATGGTACCCGAAACGGCTTTTGAGTCTTGGCCACACTGTGATGATGAAAATCCCGTTTATTTTACTATATATATTATTATAATACTGCTATTATACATTTGTACTTTATTAAAAATAAATAAAATAAATAAATTATTGTTTGCAAAGGGAGTCCACGGTCCACGAATTAAGATGCATAGGTCAAAGGTATATTGTAATTCGTGAGACGTCACACGGCTCACGGCTCATCAGCTGCAGCTGGCACAGCCACAGGTGAATGGAGTACAGACAAGGATTTAAAATCTATTTTCTTTCATATGATTCGCGGACCAAAAGTAGGGATTCATTTTTTATTGAGACAAAAAGTCTGAAAATATAAAATATTTTATTAAACTTTCATTCATAATTATATCATACATAGGTATTTCATATATAATTAATATTCATTTAAAAAATGTAATTTATTTTAATACCTATTCTAATAATTTATTTGGCGGTTTTAGTTTTAATTCATTATAGTTGTGGACTATTATTAGGTAAACAAATTTATACAAATAATTATTAATAAAGAGTTGACAATAGAAACAATTTTAAATCGCATATTATAAAGCCATTGTTTAAGAAAACGTTATTTATATTTAATTATTATTATTGTAAAGTGATCAGATGTTAGTATTTAGTAAACTGTAGTTAAGTATTATAAATAGTGATCAAATTCAAATTATTTATATTAAAATAGTAAATACCAAATACCAAATAAAAATAGTAATATTGCATTCTCTAAATGAATATTCATTATACATGAAATATATATTTGATATATATTTTAAATGAAAATTTTATAGAATAATTAATTTCAGACTTTGTCCAGCAATAAGAAAAAGAATTCGAGCTTCTTGACGGATTACACTTTTACCCAGGTATCTTATACCATGGAGGCATGGTACAGACCATGGCTTGTATTTAGCCATGAACAGACTAGTGGATTTCATTACTTCAGTCTACAAATTGTTCACTGTTCAGGCTTTTGTTTTGAGAGGTATGCAAGTTGCTATAAAAAGTCAAAGCATGTGATTTATGAATCTTATCAAGTTTTGTAAAAAACAGATATTGAAATCGACATTTGATCATAAATATTTATGTAGTAAGCAACAACAAACTAGGCCAAAAATGGGAGGGAAAAATAATTGAATACCCTGTGGTTAGCACTCGGGGGGGGGGGGTCTTAGTCCCCTTAAAACGGACCGCTTTTTAATTGTGTGGAATCGAAGCTCCTCCTTCTTACATCAATGTTAGCCTCCTCTGAGATTCTAATGAATTGGTTGAAGGGATGAGGAAATCCAACATAGACAGAGCATAAATATAAATGACAAATAAATGTTACATATTATTATAATATATATACATGATAACAATCAATGAGGACTATAGAAGAAACAACTTAATTTGATTTTCATTGATCTAAAAATGAAGAATGGAGAAAATTAGACAATAGTGAGTTCCAAAATCTGTTTCAAGGATCTAATAATAAAGAAATGTACAGATTGATATTGACTTCATATTGAAGTTGACTTGATATACAAGATACAATGATATAAGAGGTAATTCAAGAAGATCCAATAAGAAAAAGACTGTGAACTTATAAAAGTTTTATCCTTCAATAAATAACAGAATATATTGTAATTCACAAAAAATAAATTAGTGTACAATTAAAATCAAAACCGTCCACTTCTTGATCGTCCTGTGTACTTGGTATCTTCTCTAGTAGTTCTTCCTTGACGTCTTCTCCTTTCTTTCTTTTCCAAAATCCATTCTCTACTTTTTTTTACTAATTTTGTCGCACGCCCTTTTGTCATTTTTTCTCTGTGAATCGTTAATAAATAAATCAAGTATTTCATCACTTTTAGATATTAGTACCATTATTACCTTTTTGATGTATAATTAATTTGGGTATTTTCTGTACCAAGTGCTGGAGGCATGGGCATAGCACCACCAGTCATCAAAACGAGAAAATATTTTTTAGCTTTAGTACTATCCGGAAAATCCACCAACAATCCTCCAAAAAATCCAGCTTTTCGCGCTTGTGATACAACTAAATCTGTTTGATGTACATTTTCTGGATAAAACTGAAATACTGCTCTCGCATTGCGTCCCTAACAACCAATAGTTAAATATAATTTATATTCTATTTATTTGTTTAAAAATTATATTATGAATGTTATACTTACCAAACAAGCTAATAATGTCGAAAACAAAGTATACAGCCTTTTTGCAGGTTTATGTGATGATTTATCTGCATTACATAACCATTGCAATGTGCTTACACTGTATGCACCATCAAATGTACCTGGTTGAAATGGAACACCATCACCAATATCTCCCAACAATAAATCACCTTCAACTTCTCTTTCTTTTGCTACTTCTAAAAAAAATTAATAAACTAATAAATATACATTATAAATGGTAGTTAGTTAGTATTAAAAGGATACCCCCAAAAATTTTTTTCTCTATAACTCAATATAATAAAATATTTACATTTTATATTCAATATCACCAACACTGGCAAGAGGTTTTAGGACAATATGAAAAATTAATTCATAGATATTACATTTTTTAATTTAACAGTATACAACACTGTATGGTAGTTTTTTTTATTACTTTAAAACTTATATACAAATTTAAGCACTGTGTATAGGGTTACAAATATTTATTTTATTTTAAAAGAATAAAAATTAAAAACTTGACAGTACATCACACATAAAATTATTATTTTTAAATTTAATATTGTTAAGTGGTCAATGTTGATATAATAAAATGTCAATTTGTTATGAAATACACCTTAAGATTTTTTTTTTGTTTTAAATAATTGTGTAAAGAATGATGGAATATAAATAAATAGATATACATATATATAAATGACCTAGTACTTCTATAAATTTCATGTCAAATATTAATGACATTTCATATTGAATGTAAAAATAACAAAATACATTATTAGATATTGTCATTTTAATAGTTGTAATTTGTAAACATAACATACATAAATTATTCAACATACTTAACATGGAACCTGAAATGTCCATTCCAAACCAAATATGACCAGATTCTTCAGCAACACTACCACTTAGACCAGAACCACATCCTAAATCTAATAGCAAACAAGTTTCATCTTCTGGTAACATCAACAATTCCATACACCTTTCAGCCATTTCTAACTGAATGTTTATCATCCGAGAACTAAAAATAATTATTTTAATAGAATTGTTTGAATTACAAACAAAAAAATAGTGATGGAATAATGACTGGACAAATGTTACTTACTTTTGGGTATACTTCCGAGCTTCATCGTCATTATAAAACTGTTGAACAAAAAAAAACATTTTTTTTTTTTTAATTTAATTAATTTTAATGAAAATGTACTATCTATACACTATGTAATAACTAATAAGTAAATGCCTGAACATGAGTGGTAATTTTAGGGAGGAAACAAACATTTAAAAAATATACCAATTAATTATAAAAATGTCATACACCTATGTGTAACACCTTACAGGGATATAATATACACACATATATATATATATTACACATGGTTAAAAATGTTAGATGGTAAGTAACGCAAATGTTTAATATGCAATTAACCAATGTTTATGTTTGATATATAAGATCGTTCATAATTATTAGATGTACAAAACTTACGATTTCCGGAGGAGCTAAATGTTCCGGACGAGACATCTTGTAGTTGGAACAAAATAAAAGAATTAAGCTTCAAAGTATTTGTAATTATTGTTAAATTCGCAAGCATTTACTTCTTAAGAACAACCGCGAGGCGCGATTCGAAAATATTGTGTTAATGTGTTATCACCAAAAGTCGTTATCTACCACGATAACCTTATCAAGGGTTCAGTGTTGTTACCATGGACTTGGTTACTTTATCTATTTGTGCCATTTGTGGTTGTAGCGGGGATTGTGCTGTTTATGACCTACCGCTGCCGAGCGGTGAATAATGACAGACAGCTCGCGAAATAACCGACCGTCAGATGGCGGCACCTAGTCTGTATCATCACTCTCAATCACTCATCGAAATATCGAACGGCGTACTCCATTGGTCCTGTCGAGCGGTCCGATGACACAGCCGACCAACGGCGACAGCCGTTTTACCCGCTGCGAAGTGACGAAAGGCGAGACGCATCTAAAATTCTAAAAAAGAGGGAATGGGACGTCAGACGCGTCCTATGGAGAAAAGAAATTCTTTTAAAGAATATTATTTTTGAAAAAGCCTTCCAATAGAAATCAGTATAGAACTTGACCGCTAAAAGACCAAATGAGACGAGTGTATCTCGTATATCCGGTCATCGGGACCGCATTCGACTATAACAATAAATTCAGGTTGCGAATTCATGACGAATATAAAATCATAGGAAAGATAACATATTTTATAATATTATATATTTTATTACAACGTTTGTGTCTAAGTGCCCGTTTACTCGCTTGGCGTGGCATCACAAGTCACAACTTACAACGATAACGCCGCGAGCCGGCGTTTAAAACCCTAAAGTCTAAAGTGACAATACGAAAGTTTGAAATGCGAGCGGCGTGGCGGTGAGAGAGTGAGCGACGCGCCAGCAGCTGGGAAAGCGGTGGTAGTGTGGACGTGTGGTAAACTGGTAGTCTGGTACAGTGGTACGAAACTACGAGCGTACGACGCAACCGCCGCCGCCCGTTCGTCACTTAGTCCAGACGACCACACTCCACCGCCGACCTCCCGACGGGCGATGACTATAATATAGACTGCAATATACGCGACCACGGTGTCTGTGCGTGCGTGCGTTTCGTGTGTGTTACTGTGTTAGCACTCGGCAGCGAGCGATAACGCGTCGCATATTATTTGTTATTATTTATTTATTATTATTATTACTATTATTATATAAAACTATCAAAAACTGAAAAAAACGCATCGCTCCGTACCCGTCGTGTCGCGACCCGTGGTCATCCGATCATTCCGATCAAATATAAATACATCAAATTTTGTAAAAACGTTATTTTTTTCGCATCAATATCCACGGTTTTTCATCGTCATCATCACTGTTATAACGTGTATTACAAAAGTACACAATAAACAACGATATTGGGTTGTATATATGTATATTATTGTAGTGTCTTAAAATATTATGCTGACTCGTCACGTGCCGCATTTCCGTAACTACTGGTGCAGTGCTACTACGGTTACGACTGTCCGTGTCGTCGGTGGCCGCCTCCGTTCGTCCGTGTGGTGGTGATCGGTCCGCGGTCGTCGGCACAGCAACTCCTTGTGCGTGTGTTGTCGTTACATCCGTTACCGATACATCGACGATAACAGTCTCGACACTCCGACCGAGTGGACTGACGACGGTGTAACGACAACGATATCGTGTCGTACGTGCGCGCTGTAGGACACGCCGTCTTCGTTACGTGATGTCGCGTTACCGCCGGGCGACGTGCGATACCGCCTAAAAAGGGCATATGCCCACCGCCGTCGTAACGACGCGCTTCACAGCGACCACGGGCGTTTGAGAGTAGTCCCGGACCAGCACGCTCGGCGACCGTCACTTCTGTTATGTAAGTGTACACTTGCACGCCGTATTGTTATTGTTGACGAGCTTTGACCCTTCCCGTCCGTCTCGACACGGGTGTTCTTCAGACACTCGCGCGTATCGGATTATTATTGGGTCACGGAAAGCCTCGTCACCGCACAGGCTGGACACTGTTCGTTGGTCACTGTCTCGTCCGCGAGTTAAGTTTTTCTCATTTATTTATTAAGTTTTTTGTTTGTCCAGTGTCTAACCAAACGTTGACTGCACACTCAGTCCCCCTCCCCGACCATATTTTGGATAGACTACCATTGTGACACAATGAGTTTGTATGGATGGTGTTCTTGAAAAACCGGCAAAGTGTTGCCGGCTACCAATCGAGATATGGACGGCAGCAATGGAGCCAAGCAAGCCGACAGTTGGCATAAGCATGAGCCGTTTATGATGGTCGAAAAGCAGAAAAATAAAAGTAAGTGTAATGCTATTAAAAATTGAGTAACGTCCTTCGCTGATCATTTGCTATTCCTTTTAAAACTAACAGACACAGATTTTACATTAATTACAGTTAGGTACTATTTAGATATTGCCAGGACAGCCTTTGTCATGTCACTGTGTCTTTAGCTGAATTGTTCTGATTAGTGTTTTGAAACAGTTTTTCTTTACCAGATGTTGAAAGCGTCCTTGAATGATTGGCTACATTTGAATACAATGAATTCTCCACACACCATATGTTTAGACAACTGTTTTGATAATCAAATTGTATTTCTATTGTTTAAAACAAAATAATAATGCTGCTTTATCTTTCATGCTTCAATTTTGTGTATGGTCACTCATTGGCAATTGGCATATTCCCATTTTAAGATTTATATGTGAGGAATTAGTAGGTAGTTATCCAACTACTAATAACACTATAGATTACATTTTAAACATTGGCATTAACAATTGTATGATGTAATAATTTATTTTCTGTTTTTTTGTCCTACATTCTTGTCATGATAGGTACTCACTTAATATTTTATCCATTGTATGTTTATAATAATTGCTTTCCTGTAAGGGATAGTAGATGGTACCTAGGTATGATGAAAAAAATACTTTAATACTTGTTCACCTAAAAGTGAGTTGATTAATATTTATATAAAAAAAAACTAGACCAGTTTATCAACATTCACTGTTATAAAAAAAGTATTAATGGGGTATCTGTATGTGAGAAACTAAATGGAATTCAATAATTGCCCGTATATTTACCTAATTGCATATAACAACTAGAAATACCGAGGAAAATATCTTCAGAAAACTGTGTAGGTGCTCAAATCACCAAAGTTTGTAGGGTAAATCATTAACCAATGCATGTAGAAATTACTATTGAATGATCTGAAAAATTCAAAATAATATGTTAGATAACGGTTGTACTAAGAATTTTAATCGTATAATTGTGTCAGCTAATAAAATATACCTTTTGAGTTCTTAATACCTACCTAACCAATTTTCCATTAGCGTTGAGTTTACAATTTTTATTCAATTTTTTGATATCATTGATACTATACTGATTTCTCTTATACTTTTTATGATTATATTTAAATAAAAATTGAAAATGTTGCTTTATTAGGCGTTATAAAAAACATGTGAACTGGTTGTTACTTATTAGTTTTTTTACTGTCTTTATAAATGTGTAGGTTAAGTAGTTGAATCCAGACCAGTTTAATTTATTTTATTTATACAGTTCCTGATTTCTAAAAACCTATAACTACCTATCAATAGAATCAAAACTAATAAATAATGAATGAAAATTGTAACATAAATATTATAATAAAAGTATTTACCTATTTGATTTTTGCATTGGTAATTTATTATATGTTTATTTTCTAAATTGTCAAATGATGGTATTTGACCAGAAATTCTGTCTTTAGTTTTTTGGTTTGCTTCTATTGGTCCTATTCGGTGTATTTGGACATTTAGTAGCTAAGGTTGACTTTATTTATTTTATTATTTAAAGCTGTCATATGATTTTTAAATAACTGTAAAGCATGTACAGTGTACACCCACACATAGAGTATTATTCTAAGTGAATACACTGTAAACTATTTTTGTATATAATAATACATTTGTTTGTTGAAACTTTAGGTTACAAATGAATTCAAATTACCCGTTAATATCTATATTCTATAAGTGATAATTTGGTTGAATTGGTGCAAAATATTTCATTAACTATTTTTTATACTACCCACAACATTGAAGATAATTATTGTTTTCTCTCTTTACCTTGATTTAAACATATAATTTGAATATTTAGCAGATTATCACTTAGATTATTGATCAACATCAGTTAATTATCTAAAATGGGTTCTCTTACTTGCATGTTTTAATCAATTCACTGGCAGGCATATGGTTGGGGATTAGATGACATATACTAAAAATAGATTTGCTGTACTGTCTAAACTATTTATAGAGTTTTGTTAATCAGTCTACACGTTTTAAATTCCAAATTCTACTTGGAGAAGATTGTACTACTTATGTATATACATTTTTTATTTAAAAAAGCTTGTTTATTTTTTTAACAATTTAAAATGTGACTGATAACTTGAACCAATGATCATTCCAACTAGTAGGATTTGAAATTATTTTGAGTGTGAGTGCAATCAGATAATTGTTGATTTTAATATTTTATTGTACGACTGATACCTACTGTATGTAGCAAACAATTAAAAATAAATCAATCATTTAACAGCCAAGTGAATCTTAGTGTAGTGGCCTTGCTCTGTGCATCATTTTTCCTTCTATTATTTAGAAAACTGTTTAATGATCAGCATTAAGGAAACTAGCTATAGAACAAAATCAAATAATTGTTAGTGAATTGTATCTAGTTTTATGTAATAGTATAAATGTATAAATTGGTATAATGGTTTTCTTAGTTAAAATGTGTACCTTTTTTTTTTTAAACCTTTACACTTAACTTAACTTTATTTCTTAGAAAATATGAGATTTATAAGAATATTATGGTTTTTTTTTTTAGATGAATTTAAATAATTTCTTGATTACTACCTGCAACATTCTAATATTTTATTATTATTCTATTAAGATCATGGGCAAGGATCCCAGGACAGTAACTTTGGTTTTGGCGGTGGTCCGTTGTATGGAAGACTTGTTGCTGAAGACCAATTACCAATGGTGGGTGGTGTCGCTCCAGTGCATGCTGATATACATGCGATGCAAGCAAGAATACCACCTCACTTTCGAGATCCGTCAACAGCTCCATTGAGAAAGCTTTCAGTGGACTTGATCAAGACTTATAAATTCATTAATGAGGTAAAATATGAATAATCATTTCTTCTATTATTATTACTTGTAGATTTGTAACAATATGCTGTCTACAAATTACAATATTCACTGGTCAATGTTTAGAAATCAAAGTTGTAGTATCAAAAGTAGTAATACATATATTTTGTTGAACTAGGTATGCTAAAATAGAAATTATTTCTTAGATAATGGTTATTCTTTTTCAATTAAAACAATATTTTTGCCAATGTGATACTATTTATTAAGAACATTTATATATATTTATATGGCTTATATAATGTGTTAAATTTTAAAACGTCAAAGGTCAGTTATTTAATCATAGTAACCAGGTTTTAAATATTAAGATAACATTTACAATAAATAATAATTGCTTCATACTATGTTCCATTATCAACATTATTTTAATATTATAACTAATGCTTAATGTGTTTTTAATCTATATTTTAGTGGAATACTATAAAAATATATACATGTTTAAAAAAATGATTGATTTTGTATGTGTTTTTTTCTATATTTAAATTGAGTTTATATAATTAATTATTTTGTTTTAAATTTATTTAGGTCTACTATGCTAAGAAAAAAAAAAGAGCTGGTGGTGGAGCTGTTGGGTTGAGTAGTCAACCTCAAAATAATGGGGCCCCTGTTGAAGGTCCTGTAGCCAATAAAAAAGAACGAAGAGTGTATAATGATGGTCATGATGATGACAACCATGATTATATAATTAGAAGCGGTGAAAAGTTTTTGGATCGCTATGAAATCATATCTTTGCTAGGCAAAGGGTCATTTGGACAAGTGAGAAGCATTTTTTGATTAAATATTTATTGACAGGAAAATAAAATATATTTTATTTTATCTATTTAGGTTGTTAAGGCTCGTGACGAGGAAGAAGATTGTTATGTAGCAATTAAAATAATAAAGAACAAAAAACCATTCCTAAATCAAGCTCAAATTGAAGTAAGACTATTAGAAATGATGAATAGAGCTGATGTTGACAACAAATACTATATTGGTATGTGAAAAATATTATAATTTGTGGGTTGGTAAATAAAATAAAATGGATGATAATAATTATTTACAGTTAAACTCAAGCGTCATTTTATGTGGCGTAATCATCTGTGCCTGGTGTTTGAGTTATTATCTTATAACTTGTATGATTTGATTAGGAACACTAATTTTAAAGGTGTTTCCTTAAATCTTACACGTAAATTTGCTGCTCAACTGTGCACGGCTCTGTTGTTCCTTTCCACACCGGACCTGTCCATCATACATTGTGATCTGAAACCAGAAAATATATTGTTGTGCAATCCTAAAAGATCGGCTATTAAAATAGTAGACTTCGGCTCATCTTGCCAACTCGGCCAAAGAGTTAGTTACAAAAATTGCATTTTTTACTTTATCGTGTTAATGTTCAATTTGTTTGTTACAGATATATCAATATATTCAATCTCGTTTTTACCGTTCACCAGAAGTTCTACTTGGTATACCTTATGATCTGGCTATTGACATGTGGAGTTTAGGATGCATATTAGTAGAAATGCATACCGGAGAACCGTTGTTTAGTGGAACAAATGAAGTATGTTTTATTGAAAATCCAAATTGTATTGCTGATAGAGTTATTAAATTAAATTTTATTTTTCAGGTTGATCAGATGAATAAAATCATCGAAGTTCTTGGCATGCCACCCAAACATATACTTGACCAGGCGCAGAAAGCTCACAAATATTTTGATAAATTGCCCGGTGTCGATTCGTACACCTTAAAAAAACCTAAAGATGCTAAAAAGTACAGGAATCCAGGCGGTCGACGATTACATGATATTTTGGGTGTGGAAACAGGGGGCCCTTATGCTAGGCGTTTAGGAGAACCTGGGCATTCAGTGTCTGACTACCTTAAATTTAAAGTAAGTATTTTTAATACTTAATTAAATAATAAAACTGTTCTTTGACATATCTTAAAATATAATTTATACAATTGTCTAGGATCTTATAGTACGAATGCTAGATTATGATCCAAAAACTCGAATTACACCATATTATGCATTGCAACATAACTTCTTCAAGCGAACTTCTGAAGAGGGTACTAATACAGCTAGTGGTATCGCTCAAGCTGGACTACACAGCTTAGGTGCTAGTCCACCATTTAATAGTTTACCTAGTAATAATCCAGGGGACACGAATGTGCAATCATCTGGTAAGAATACCATTAATTAATATTTAACTTATTTTAAGGACATGTTTATGTTGTTTTTTTTTTTATTCAGTGAAAAGTGAAAACAAAACAAAATTATAGACATTTTAATTGATTACATTTTTTAAGACTAATATATAAATATTTATGTATGTATCATTATTTTTATTGTTATTATTATTTTTTTTTTGCTTACCTTAAAGGAAACACTTTCCCTACACATTTTTACGCTCGATGACTATTGCTAAACTTTGGGTCAACGTATTAGTTTTCAAAAAAAAGTGTAAGTCAAATCTTAATAATGTGATGTGTGTTGTTTGTGTAAATAATACTATGTAATTTTGAGTGAGAACATTAAATATTAAACCATATATTATAAATGTATATTGTATATACACCTACACACATATCATTCAATTTGAATAATTAAAAATATTAATTATAATTTGATAGTAAAATCATTTTGCTTTTTTTGAGCACGGTATCATCTAAGTATATATTTATTTTTAGTGGTAGGCTTTTATCATTTTGTAATTTGGTAACACGTTTCTGTAGTTAAAATTTGTACACTATTTTCATGACCCTGTACAGTGTTCAATGGTATTAAACCTGACAGTTATTTTATAGAAAAAGTATACTTCATAACATATATACTAAAACATACAGGGTGTCCCAAAATGATTCATCCGATTTTAGTAGACTTTAAATATTGTTCCTGTAATTTGAGGTAAACGAAGCACCGACCATCTGAAATGTGGGTTTATCGAGTTTTTATCGATTGCTGATAAGTCACGATAATGTGCAGTCTAGTCATGTAACGATCAGCTACCACAGCAACGGATCGGTCGCTGTAGTGCTGATGACGCTACATTTTGTCCATGGCCGCCCCGTTCGCCGGATCTTAAAATCTGAAATCTGTGATTTTTTTTCTCTGGGGTTACATAAAAAGCATTGTTTATGTACCTCCTCTTCCAAAAGATCTTGACGAATTGAAAAGTCGCGTCACAGAAGCCATCAACTTGGTTACAGTCGACATGCTTCAACAGATTTATGAAGATTTTGAATATCACCTAGATGTGTGTCGTGCTAGTAAGGGGGGTCACATTGAACATTTATAAGCATTGTACTTAAAACTTAAAATAATCCATTCAAATGTAAAATGTATTCTAACATGATAGATCAAATTTTACAATAAATATGATTTTTTGAAATTGGATGAATCATTTTGGAACACCATGTATTATATCAGTTATATGAAGTGAATATTTAGCTTTTTTAAACTTGTTTTAACTAATGTTTGAGTATGAATTGTTTTAATTTCATTGCAATTAAATAAATTCTGATGTATAGCATAACATTATACAGTTTTATAAATCCTTTATTCAAGAAAATTATGGTTAAGATTTTGTATTTATTTGAAATGACAGTATTTATTTTACTTTAAAATTACTTAACCAAACAATTGCATTTAAGTGTGTAATGAATCATTGTATTAACTTTTTGAAGAGCAATGCTGTTTATGTATATTTTTTGAAATGTTGGCATTGGAAGCGTTAATGTGTATAGTCGACTCGATAACTTAAAACTTTCAGTGATTCAAAGTAATTGCTCATTCCCTTGAAAATCTTTCAGTAATTGGAATAAAAACAATGCCTTTAAGTACACTCGGTAGTTAGTAGTAACATTTTATGGTAACCTAGTCGTCAAAATATGACAATTTAAAGTATAACGCTCAGAAATTCAAGTGTATTTACCAAAATGTATTTTTCAAATCTGATCATTAATAATTTATCTTACGATTGGGTAATAATCCATCTTATCATTGCCGATAACCATCAAATTATTATCGTACCACTTTTTGCATGTCTTGGACAAATTAAGTACTTATTTTTTTTTTACTAAACTTTGCCCTTATTTAAAGAATGATATATATAGAGTATTTAAATGGTTGAAAGGAAACCTTACATTGTATTTTTGTTTAAATGGATTACTTATTTTGATAATTAATATAAAACTACATATGTAGTTAAGGTTTCATTATGTTGAGGTGTGTATTTAATTCAATTATTGCTGGTGTTATAATACACTTAACTTTAAATTGACGAAAAATGTAATAAACTGATTTAAGTTACTTATTGGGAATTCAGAATTACATTATTTTAAGTTATTTAATTTATTTAGTTTTATTACATTAATTATTTCTGTACTTGTCTACTTTAATTTGGTATTATTTATTTAGTGTTGAGTTTTTTGTTCAGCATGGAAACAAAATAGATTGTATATACAAATGTTAGTTAATTATTTTGACCATTGAATACTTAATATTATTTACTTTCTTGAAAATGATTTTCTCGTAATACTTACTTAATAAAAATATGAACAGTTTTTTTCATATGTTTGAAACTGAACATATGTGTCAATAATCATACCTTCAATGTATTAAGTAAAATTTATGTAAATGGTTATTATTTTATTTTTACTTTTTGAAATCAAAAACAAAATGACTTTGCTAGTTTTATTTATTATTTCATCATTTATAATTTTTAAGTTTAATACTCCCATTGCATTTGCACTGATTTATCATAGTGTCATTGCTTCTTTGGTGTTAATGCGTTTTTGTGAAGTTTTTATTGCCTTTAGATTATTTTGTTAAATAGTTATATTAATGATAATTTAATTGGTTTATTTTTTTATAGCAATAAGATTGCGGTCAGACCTGTTTCGAGGTAGAACTACAATGGATTGTGACCCTCCGCCGATCGCTTCTATGTACCACGGTTACCAAACGGCTCCGATGGCTAGACACCATCTGCCTCACCATGCTACAGCTTACCCAATGAACCCGGCATCCTCTGTTGGTGCTTTGGTTCATTGTCGACCCACCTCTTTGCCGTTCCTACATCCACAACATCACCCGTATCAACCAATACAATCACAACCTCCACGCTCATTGCATTCATTGCATAATCACCCACCGCCACCACCAGTACAGCAACCTGTTGCACGGGTACCAACTTCCCATTCCAATCGAACGAAACAAGAACAAGATGACATGATTGGGGTATGTATAGGTCAAAGTCCTGTAGCAATAAACATAACATGATCAAATCGTATAAAATGTAAAAAAGATGATTTACACTTGTTTTCAATATAAAAACCGAATAACTGTGATTAATTTAGTGGGGAAAAGTATAATTTTTAAAATCAGATTCGCGCCGAGTAGTGTCAGAAATTCAATTTTATTGTTTCCATTGATATTGTTTTTGTTTTGTTTTGTTTTGTTTTTTTTGTTTGGACACAAAATAAATCTTATAGAATTCAACTATAACTTTATTTTAACAGATTTAATACATTAAATTAAAACAAAATAAATTGACAAATAATTTATATCTGATACAATAATGTATAATTACTAATTAGTTAATAACATATTTTTATAAACTTACCAATTGCCATTTTTATCTTAATGTATACACGGATAACCGTCAAAGCTACCTCAAAAAATATTGTATTACCATAGATTAAATAACATTAGTGTTACTTAATCTATAGTAATACTAATAGAGACAGATACATTTTGAAATTGTGTCATAATATTTACTCAACTGTCCGATATCCTATTTTAACTTGACTTAGTATCAGCATTGCATGAACACTATTTGTTTGATAAATTTTATGAAAAAGGCCTAAATGTAAATTATTTCATTACATTTAATTATATTTTTTAAAAATAAATTTCAAACATCAATTATATTGTGAAGATTGGTGTTTATTATTTTGTTACATTCCTTTGGTAACGGACAAAATCAAATTTAAGTTTATAATTATTACACAGTATATCATACAATGCACAATACATATGTAATAATTATAATTAACAGATGAAAAATACTTCGTAAATGAAAATCCAATAAGTATTCATTAATTCTAACTGCAGAGAAAGCATTATTTTTCTGTATTAAATAGTGTATACAAGTTTTGGTGCTTTTGCTGTGAACTCTAGTTTTTTTTCATTTTCGAACCATCAACATTTAGAATAAATGTTTGAGGAAACGGTATATACACACATAACGTGAGTTCGTCAGTCCAGTAAAAGTCATAATGACGTATATTATCTGTATTGTGTTCGACTGCGCGTTTAACAATCTGATGTGTGCCGAATTGATCTATTATTATTGTCTGGGACTTTCGAAATCACGACTGATTGTGTGTGTATATATTTTTTAAATTATTAATACTATAATTAATATTCTCTTAAAAGAACCGATGACTTGCATAAGATAAAAATGGCCTACGTTTATAACGACTAAGCGTATCTATACGTATTCTAACACGATTTCATTATTATCGTGTCTTTCTGGACTGTTAAGCATATTTTTTATTCTTATATATTTCGTTAAAATAATATACATATGTGTATATATATATATATATGCATTATATATGGTAGTCTTATAGTGTTACCCTAAGAATTTTTTTACGCGTTTCCACTGCCATATGTATATATATATATATATATATATGTATATGTGTGTATGTGTCTATATTGTATTTAAATAATAAACTATATAGTCTAAAAATATAAATATACATAAAATAAAAAGTTAGCATTTATGTCCCATGTCGTCAGACGACGATGCTGCCGAATACGCACCACTCTCTCTCTCTCTCTCTCTCTCTCTCTTTCACACACACACACATACACACTACTCGTACGCAATTATTGTTGTGTAGTGACATATATTAGTCGATTTCGATGACATGACCACCGAGGTAGTTTTTTCGTTTTTGTATCGCGGGCGTGTGTAAAAAAATTTAATCAACAAGAAAAAAAACGAAAGAAATAATATAATATGTGATAGAACAGGGTGGAATATCCTTAAAACATTATTTTGTTCATTTTGTACGGTGATCGTTTATTATATATTAAATTAATTATAAGATTAAGTATATATATAATTTGATTTATTATATGATATTATATAATTTTTTTTTTTATTAAAGACTGTTGTGTATATAGACTTAGATATTGTACGTGAGATGTTCATATTTAATTAATAATTATAATATTATATTATATATATGAAATAGGCAAAAGTTTTTATTTATTTTTACATTTTGTTTTGTTTTTTTTTTCTTGACGCGCCGTTTTTTCCGACAAACTTGAGTACCGTGTGTGAATTGCAGTGGTCTGTATTCGCACACACACATACATTTCATGCATACACTTACAATTACACACTAACTCGTAGGTTAATTCGTGTTGGGGGAAGGGATATGCCGACGTCAGTGAGTAACCATATCACTTGTATACTATATATATATATATATATACTTAGCTAAATCGTTAGTAAATAGTAATATTAGTAACTAATATTATATATATATAATATATTATGATGTACGAGATATAGTTATACCACACGGCCCGTGTCTCCCCACAGAATTCCACGATGATGTTATACATATATATATATTTATGTATGTATATATTGTATATATATGTGTTTTTTGTTTTGTTTTTTAGATAATTTGAATTGTTTAAACATCTGTCTGTCGGCATATATTATTATTATATTATTAAGTAAAATGAGATATTATAATATGTAACTGTGAAAACGAAACATATTTATCTTACGAATAATTTTCTTTTTTTCTATCATTATTATTTATATATTGTACATGTTAACGAATAAATGTATACGGCGTTTGAAAAAAGAAAAACAAACAAAAAGAAAGAAAGATCATAACAATTATTTTTACCGTGTCTTTCACCTACTTTTACTCACTGTACTCACACAGCACTTGCGTCTTACGTCAGTTGCATATGGTGCATGTTTCTATTCCTGGAGAATCCTAATTTGTTCCTAAACGTCCGAATTGGTTCCCGGGTTGATATGAATGGTGTATCGGAATTGGTTCTCGGTCTGTTATAACCAGATCTCCTCCAATGAAGTATCAACAACATCAACTTCGTAAATGAAATAGAGTTATATAACTTTAAATGAAACCTAACTAGTAACTATAATGTAAAATTTATGTAATTATTATATAAATTAAAACTAATGGCCTAGCTACTGATGTAACCAAAATCAATAAAAAAAATAATAAGTGTAGGTAAAGAGTGACAAAATTAAAAACATTACTTACTACTAGTGCCGCTGCCGATGGTATTTACTATACGTACTACAATACTGGGTAATAGGTGTATATTTATCTTCTTACTGCATGTGAAAAAAAACATGACTGAGTCCCGGACTCAATTCCTTGTAAAGGGTGCATTCACTAGACTTGGGGATTTCTCGGGTTATATTTACTTTACTTAAATTGGTCACTTATTACTTAAAGTTATTTTTTTCCTGCAGATAATACGTAGGTATATTATGTCATTTAACACTATTATTTTCGTAAAATCTCTTTGGTTCTCTTTTTCTCGAGCGACATTAAGCTGCGTAAAGGTTGTCTTATGGTACAATACATTTTTAATATTTGTGCCTACACCTATACCTACTATAATAAAAATAATTCTTTATTAATGGAATTTCAAATTATCCATTTACAAATATTCTGTGAAATATAGTGATTGTATAATGCGCATGTATCTATATATGTTATTTTTTTAAGATTTTATAAAGTTAAATATACCTGGGCCTATTTAAGTTAAAATTGTATATTATTACAATTTAGAAAGTATTATTTAAATAACTAGAGAACTTATTAAGTGACGGTCTGTCAGTTTATAATATTACTTAATAATTTAGTATATTCAGTGATATTATTGTGATTAAAGTAATTTATTTTACTAGTAAGTATTAGCACTACGCAGTAGATTAAATTAATTTAAAAAAACAGTACATTTGAAAAGTCATTGTGGGTATAAAATATAATAATATACTTTAAAAGTTTCAAGTACCCACGAATAATAATTTTTATTTACAACAAAATAACATAAATCATTATTCTTGGTAATTTAATCTTTAATTTAGTTCACATTTGAACATAACAAATCTGTGATAGTATTTTTTCGATTTTTTAATAACAGAATAACCTACTTGCTTGGAACTTTGTTTTGAATTTTCAACCCTAACCTACAAAAGTTGAATATTTCAAAAATTTTAAATTATTTGTTCATTTTAAATGATGTGAATTTTGTTAAAATTTAAACTTTAAATGCTCATTAAAAAAATCGTGCCTATGTATTTTAAATAATTTTCAACTAATATTGTAAATATCTATCAGGAGCATTTTATTTAATTTTCAAGCTTTTTTGCCCAACAAATATAATTTTATTAACAATTATAGAAAAACAAAACTGAATAAACTAAAAAAATACTAAATTTAAATTGTTTGTAAACAGCTCAAAACGAGTCAAAATAATTTGAAAATTGTATTAAGTATATATGAATTAAAAATATAAACAAATGGTGTGAATTTCAAATATCTGCAGTTATTGGGTTTTCCATTACAAAAAAAATAAGTAAAAATCACTATATGAGAAATGTAGTGAATATTCAATGTTGTCAAAATGTCAACTTCAAATGCTCATAAAAATTTTATTTGACTTTTCGGTAGAATTTTTTTTTTGATAAAGGTAGACAAACTTATAAGGAATCTTGTATTAAGTTTTAAAAACTTAGTTATAAAACGAAACATTTTTATGAATTTCTAACTCAAAATATTTTACACATTTTCGTGACTTCTACTAATTTTGTCAAAATTCAAAATTCAAACGCATATAATGTGTTGTCAAAATTGTATGGTTTATAGAAAACGCCGTTATTAATATTCAGTAAAAATTTCACGTATATCTACGGTGTTTTTTTTTTTTTTGAGAGTTACATTAAAAACCAAAATCGATTTTGTCGAAAACCGTAAAAATTCGCTTTTTTTCCCTTAATTTTTTGTTTGTTTTTTCTGCCGCTTTTGAAAACTATTGAGAATTTTTAACTTTGGACCCCTTGAAATACTGATACTATTCACATTCTTACCAAAAAAGATGCTATTGTAGAAAATCGAAGCACTTTTATTCTCCCAAAATAACTTGAAGACAGGAACAAAAAAAATTTAAAAAATAAATTGTAAAATAAATACATTCATCGCTCCGCTCGGAATCTTAAAGAAGTTAAAAAGTTAAAATTGAAATAACCTAAATTTTTTAACTCGTATACACCCAGGTTTGAATGACTACAATATTTTAGGATATTTGAACGCCTGTGTCTATATATTACACAATATTATATAAAGATACCTGTACTAGTATAAAAGTGTATTTTTCATAATCACTCGTACGGAGTAATAAAATATGTGTCTACATAGAGGAAGCATATTTTTCATGAAATTACATTTTTATTTGAAGTATAAAAAGTAAATTTAAGCACCAAAAAAATATGAAACAAAAATTAATTACTTTAAACATCAACGCTTTCGGGCTTCGGCGGAATTCCTGATGTTGTGTGAGCACTGAGGAATAAATCAGATATACGACTGAACTTAAGTCTGAAAATATTGAGATTTATTATGAAAAAAAAACCATACGGATCGCTTCATGTTTCTTGTTCATGTCTGCAGCTTTGCTGACTGAAATTTTAGATCAATTGCGTCTTTGTAACCACTTCTACAATCGCCAAGGATTGCATTATTATTTATACTACATCAATATGATAAAACCATAGATTTATATAGTATATTACAAATTTTTATATCAAGGAGGTCCGTGTTTGAGATTTGATCATTAAGATAATGAAATGAGGAATAATAATAACCTAAATAGTTTATAATTTTAAGATTTAAATTACAACAATATATAAAGTACCTATTATTTTAATTTTTAATTGAATATAATTATAAAAGTGGTGTTTAAATATTCGAAGAACAAGCATATTTTTTATGAGTTATTAAATAAAAATCTTGTTGTAAATAAATGTGATTACTACTTTTTAGATTTAACATAAAGGTATTCCGTGCCTAATGTATCATATTTACCTTACAAAATTAGGCTTTGAAATTTACAGAAGTAATAATAAAATGGATACTTTAATCGTGCCTATAATATTCTATCTGGGCTCGACATTAATGTGTTATTAAACAATATTATTCTATAATAGTGTGTAGTCACCGATGTATTTGGTAAAAATTTGTGTGATTATATTATACTTCTATACTATATAGAGCCGTGTAGGCTGACCTAACTAAGGTAACTAAGGCTTTCACATAAAGGTAAGTGATGTGACGGGGGAAAAAAACCTTATGACAAAGTCAAAAAATGTATCGCTTCCCTCGTACCTACCTATAACTATTGTTTTATTTAAAAGCGTACCCTACAAATTAAGTGCTTGCAAGTACCTATAGTTTATACTTTGCAGAGGTCACTGGATATTTCTTAGGATAGGTAGTATTTAAAAAAAAAAAATTATGAACATTTTAGGTTTGTTAGTTAGGTACACATGAATTTACTAGAGCAATTTTAATTAGTTAATGCCAAAAAAGTTGTTTAATTACGTAAATAGGTAATATGTCACATGTCACATGTCTTATGAAAACAAAGATGAATAAAATATAAGATGACTGTTTGAAACAAAGTAAATCTAGGTTTGTAGTGTAATAATGTAATAGTTCTAACTTGTAAGCTATATGAACTATAAACAATATTGACTGTTGACAAGATATGTATA